CAAATGTTTGGAAGCATAGTCGGAGTGAATTAGTTTACTCAGAAACAACAGAAAATAAGGACGATTTCAGTGACCTAAACTAAATTTAATCTAAATATATTCTGAAATTGATGATCATAAAGTCAGTTCTCATCACGGCTAATGAAATAACAGTCAAAACTACTTACTATGAAGAAAATGTTACCGTTAATAATGCGTCAAAATATAGGAAGTTAGTGAATTGGACGTCCTGTTTTCGAATCCGAAGTGATTTTCAACTCAGCTTGTCTCTTGATATTATTTTCCGGACATGTGTGTAGTTCCACGGCTGTTGGCGAGCAGTTTATATCACTGAAGATTACTCCACTTGGTCATGGAGTACATTTTTTGTACGGTGGTGTTTCCATGAAAAGTGAGACAAAAATGAAATTTTCAGAACTGAGAATTGTTCAGGGAAAATATAAATAGTTAGTGAATTGGGCGTCCAGATTCCGAATCCAAAGTGATTTTTAACCTATTTTGACTCCTTATATTATTTTCCGGAAATTGCGGTGGTTCCATAGCTGTTGGCGAGCAGTGTGAATCACTGAAGATGACCCCACTTGGTTATGCAGTGCATAAATAAATTTGAAAAATGGCTTTATTCAAACATTTTAACAATTAACACCAATAAAACTGAATATATAATATTCCATCAAAAAAATAAACAGAATATTAGTCTCAATCTCCAAATTAAAAATAAAGTATTGAAAAGAACTACACAAATAAAGTATCTTGGTTTGTGGATTGATGAAAAATTGAAATGGGACAAGCATATAGAGGTTCTGATACAAAAAATATCTCCAATCATTGGAGCTTTGCGAAGATGTCCTAAACTTGACAAAAAAGTCATAAACATAGTACTTCATTCTCATATACTCAGTCGTATTACCTATATGATAAACGTTTGGGGATCTTGTTCAAAAAATTATCTCAGTAAAATATCTGCACTTTATAAGAAAGCACTAAAAGTATTGTATCGCCTCTCATTTGATATTCCAACAAATGATCTGTATGCGGTAACAAAAAAATTTTCATTGGATGAATTATATAAAATAGATTCTCTTAAAGTTTCATATAATATCATAAACAATAATCTGAAATCCAATTTTGTTTTGATAAGAAACTCGGAAATTCATGGTCATCACACGAGACAATTAAACTTATTTCATCTTGATTCTGCTACTTCTATAATTGGCCAAAACAAATTTACTCACGCTGCTCTAGCTGAATTCAATAAATTACTACATAATATAAAGAATTGCAGACATATTCCAAAATTTGAAATTGAATTAACATAATACATGATTTCATCACGAAATGGATAAAATTGATACTTTGCCATCTATACTGATTAGTCCCTGTGACTATTTTTATGACTTGATCGATTTAGCATTTTTAGATTTTTCAGATTTTTATTGTTGTTGTTGACACCTTATATTATTTTATTATTGTTGTTTGTAATCAACTTCCTCATACCAGAATTTTATTTCTGACTGGAAGCTAGTTTTTCAATAAACAATAAACAATAATTTTTGGTATATCTCTCCCTCCAGCAAATTTCAGGATCCTCACCCAGCGATTACGTGAGATACAGGGGTGTTTCCATTAAAAGTGGGACACACTGTATAACCAGCACACTAGAATAGGATATTTAGTTTTATTCTTAACTTGAAGATGCTAACATAGGTTTGATAAGTGGTAAAACAGTGTAGTTGTAAAGGTTCCAGTCTCTGATTATATGTGATAGTGTTCAACATTGTGAACGTGAACATTTAAACCCCTTATATTTATATTCGAACCTCAATAGGTTTAGGGCATTTGTTCATATGAGCTTTTCTTTTCAAATTGAGCTAAGAAACCTATCCTATAATTTCAGCCATTAATTAAAATACACACTGTACATATATATAAAGTACTCACTTTTTCCCTTCGGGAAAAAAATCAATATATGGAAAGCGACATTCTGTAACAAGTTAAAACGAGATGAAATTTCCAACTTTTTTCCAGTCCCAGAAAAAATGTTATTATTTCTCGAAACCCCTCTGAGAACATTTTGTTGCAGGTGGAAGATGAGGACGTGGGAGAGTACTATTGCCATGCTGAGAACGCGTTCGGCAGCTCCACTCAGCCGGTGTCGGTGCGGATCAGAAATATCGCCGCTGTCGGCAACGTGACTCAGTGCTGCCTCGAGCAGAACGTCACCAGCGCGTGCATGGATGCTTGTTCTTCGTATCTAGATATCGATGCGGTTAGTATAATAAAAATTTCATTGACCCAAAGATGTTAAAGTAGCTCGGACGTTACTACTTGATGGACATCCATATGATAAATGTAAGGAACTTCACGAAAGATAAGATTTACACAATAGTTATTCAACTGCTAGATCTCATGACTAAGAGTTCCAGGATAAACAGAGTTTTGCCCTAACTGTCAGCAGGAGCGAGACAGTACTGTTTCGACCCACCAGGTCTCATCAGCCGTTCTCGGTCTGCTGACAACTGGGACAAGTCTACGCTTCGGGTATATCACCCATTTCGAAAACGCAGGGTATAACATGAGGTTCTAGTCATGTAGCCATCTAGTGGCAAAGATCTTAGGTAGGGTCAAGAGATCGCGACGCACACTGTATGGCGCTGCCATCTATAGTCACATGTAGTACCACTCTGTAGCGTTTCAGATATTTCAGACGTGTAGATCATGTTAATTTATACATACCTTCGAATTTTTAGATTCATCCGTTGCATGGTTTGCCAGAAACATCTAATTAACGCTTATCGTGAGAAGCCCTGTATAGTTTTGATGACAGACCTGCAACTAAGTCTGGAACAAAGAACGATATGAAATACTCCTTCTGAATGTAATACCCACGTACTTATATATATATAGGAAGTAATAAAATTAATAAATCTCGTCTGATTCCAATTTTGTACCCCAAAATGAGCAAAAATAATATTTTGAGCACATAATATGAATAGTTAAAATCGTCTGTGCACGAATAAAAAGCACATCGTTGAATAGAAATTTTGATGTTCTTTTCAGATATGGCAAAAAAAAAGAGAAATTGGAATGTATAGGGTGTTGTTTTCTGGCAGAAAGAATTTGTGAATTTTAAGTGAAGCCGGACCTGGATTTTATTTCTTGTTGTTGCCTCAATCAATTCCACAGGATAGATTTAGCAAGTGTACCAATTTTTAAAAATATATACAGGTTGGTTGAAAAGTTATGAGACAATGAAGATATGGACAAAATTGAATAAACATCCTGTATCTCGGTTATAAGAAGTCGAAGACCCATCAACCATGGGTTTTTTGAAATCACCCCAGTGACCCCTATCCACAGTTGAATTATTTACCTTTCCCAATGAAACACCCTGTATATATTTTATATAATTTCGTTACCATAATGAACGTTACGAAGATAACGAAACTGACATGAATATTACATTCTATCTAGATGTTATGTGAAATTAACCTCCCTATTATGTAAAAATGTCAGCGTCAAATATAAACCTCATTTTCATATAATATTGATGCAACTACTTGACTAATATTTGAAATTAATATCAGAATTTAACAAATAACTTATTCACCGCACCAACTCACTTTACAAGCATAATGCACATTTTGATAACAAAGTTATCATCTCAGTAGGTGATCTACACTCTATACACACTATATAATATCTATACTGATATAACTGATACCATAAATTGACGGGATTTTCAAAGAGGGGTTTCCCATGCCCTTATGAAAGCGCTTCTTAAAGGAAAATATCAATAAAATTGATGTGGCAAACAGCCAGCACGTGTTTAGATTGATATTTTCCTTTAAGTAGCGCTTTCACAACGGCACAAGGAACCCCTTTTTAAAAATCCCGTTAATTCATGGTGTTGTCAAAAAACGAAACTTTTTGGCAATACCCTTCATATACCATTCTGGTATATGAAATGTTCAATGAAAAACAATAGTATGCGCTCTCAGGGCACGGGGCCCATCATTTATTAAGAACCCGTTTTTTCAGTCACTCTGGAATTCTTGGCTATGATGGGCATTGATAATAATTCAAGAAATAGTAGCATCAAAATTCTTTTCTACTCCAAACCTTCACCAAATATCATCTTCAGCCAAATTTGGCTGAAGATGATATTTTATAAGACCGAAACATGACCCTTCCCACTGAGCAAGAAACATCCTTAGGAGGTTCATTAACGTTAAAATATTGTATCCCCGGCGACGTTTCTGCGAACACAGCACTTGTACGTCATAATAACATAACTATGTGACATTGTTACTTTTAACGAAACTTCTATATCATAAGTTAAACTTTGCTACTTTATATTAACGTCACTAATGTGATTGTTATGTTGGTGGACATATAACGACTTTAAGACGGTCTTTGAGATGTCGATAGGCCTTCGACCAAACGTTACTAGTATGTTTTTTTGCACAGTGGGTTATGATTACCCAGATAGCACGGGACGGTTCGAGGACGTCCATTTCAGTTCCATTTTTAGTCTGAACGTCCAGGACCTTTTATGGACGTTTCAAGGACGTCCATTATTGAACATACTCGGGACGTCTAGAAAGAGACGTCTTCAAAACGTCCAATTTACAGACTCTCACGGTATATCAGTTTCAATAAATATAATTAGGGAGGTGTTCATTGATTTTGAAATTAGAATTATTCAATTGAATATGGATATATATGATGTTTGAAAAATATATTATATGTCAGCTATATCAATATATTGAATTTCATTTCATTATCATTATTATGAATTTGAAATATTGATAATTTCAACTGATTTGTACCTACTCATATAGTTATGTTATTATATACATTACTTCAATCACATTATATCTATACATTTGACCATTCTTGAACCCACACTGAATATGTAACAATATCATCAAAATTTGTGGAGATGACTTCGGGCATTACTTCCTTCCTGTGGAATATTTCACTCCACTTTGAGCAATATGGACTTCTACCAAAGATTAATTCCAACTATGTTCACCGTCCTAGGTTATCGACAAGCCGGAATGCCTTCCCGATTTCGACAAGCTGATGAAATGCGCCGCCGACGGATCAGACCACAGGAGTTGCTGTTCCCGTCAGAATATTCCCAGGAGATGCTTGGATTGGTGCAGGGGAGAGCCGGTCCTGAACAACAAGATTTGCGTCTTGTCTTACACCAAACTGATAATGGCTTGTTTCCACGAAGAAAGGTTAGATACAGCCATCGAACAACAACTTGTCTGAAAGTAGTTGTTCGATGATACAGCGATAGTCTCAATCATTAACACTCAACAATGGTGGAGACCACTGACTTTTCAAAACGAAATCATCGTCAGCTCATTGATTAAATGAACCTCTGGTGTACGGACTTCAATCCTTTCATGTTTTACAATTCCTTGATTCTCGCCTACTTCGATAAACATAACATGACCACTGTGCAAAAACTCGTACTACTAACGTTGATAAATAGTAACCAAGGTACATTGTAACTTTATGATTCTTGTCCCATTCACGTCTCAAAGACCGATTTAGAGTCGTTATATGTCCATCAACATAACAATATCTCAGTAACGTTAAATATATGATTCAAATCTGATATTTTAACTGAAACGACTTTGTTACATCAAAAGTACTTCCACTACGGTAACTACAATGAAACGGTAATAATTCATGTAACATCACTGGAAACTGCTTTCTTACATCAAAAGTACTTTCCTAAGGAGTAACTACAATGCAACCATAATGTATTCAGTATTTTCTTTTCATGTTGTTTCGGGATGTGAAAAGTACATTGTGATATACAAGGTATTCCATCCATGTTGCACTACACACTAGAATTTTTGGGTCAAATAATATGAAAGAAAAAGTCATATAAACTCAATATGCCCGACAACGATTATTTTCTGAGATACAATGAGTTCAATCATCATGTACCCATCTCGAAAATGGATCATTTTCGAACATACTTATATTTATAGAAACTTTTTTCATATTTTGACCCAGAAAAATCGATCTTGAAGATTCATACAACATTAATGACACACCCTGTATATTAATTTGTACATTTCTAATTTTTCAATTGATCAAAATAGTTTTATCGGTTTTGATTGAATAATTTGAAGTAAAATTCAGATTAGAAACTGATAAATATATATATTTAACTTATATCAACTTTATGGTTAACAACATAACAACAACAACAACAAAACGTAATATTATTCAATGAATGAACCGAACAAAAACAGGAGATGATTACTCGATGTGAATTGAAATCAATGGAGAATATAAACTGGAAAAAAAGGTTTGCTAAGCAAGGAGGCAGGAGAGCAAGAGCTGTTTGGAATGACGAAGCCACCCCATTTGCTTTTGTATCAAACGAGCAGTCCGAACAAGAGGAAAAAACCTCACGAACTGCACCTGAGTCAAATATGAATTGAAGTTCACAATAATAATAATAATGCCAAACGAGTACAATTTCAGCATATCAAATATTCATATCTTACTAACTCGATCAGTTCCCTTCTTGATATTATGTTTTTTATTCTCGATACTTCCACCCTCCTGCAACAGAGGGTGGCTTTAGAGTGTTTTAACCCAATGTGAGAGTCGATTTTCTTCTTGTCAAAACACCTTTTAAGATTTGGGTGTCTCTATTCAATGTCTCTATGCTTGATTGAAAGAAATCCCAGAGACTTACATTCTGAAATGTATACCATATTACTATATCGAACTTTATTATAATAAAAAACTGTTGTCTTACTTCGATAGGTACAAGAATATTCTCCAGAGAATATATTATCATGAGATGTCATGAGTACAACGATGTACGTCCTGAAAACGTTTCGGAATACGTCCCAAAAGGGACATTCATCAGTGGTATACATTGGCATCAGGACTCCAGATAGACATCCTATACCTATATAAATGTCCTTCACGCAAGCGAATGATCATTTCCGTCTACCAATGTCCTAGAAACCGGAAATGATTTCCAATAATTCAGTTATGGAAAATATGGAGTTGAAAGAACTTCATTTCGATCGAAATGTCAAATGTCTAACATAAAAATAATTGAATGACTATTTCACAAAAATATTTTCAGGGATAAGCTTCCTGGTCCACCGCAGAATGTTCGAGTCGATTTCATCGACAACCATTCAGTAGACGTCATATGGGATCCTCCGTTCAAAAATGCACACACTGTAGAATTGTACAGGGTGATTGTCACGAACATCGATTCGAGCACCAAAGAGAGCTTCAGGAAGGACACAGCTGAATCTCAAATAAAAATCGACGATCTCAAAGGTGAGTTTATACCTACCTTGATAATTATTCCTTAGACAATTGAAAAATCCATTTTTTGAAGAAAATTCAACAACCTGTATCTTCGGACATATGTTTGAATGAACTTTTTTTCTTATTTTTCTCAAAAATATGACCTCGTAGTTTTGTGCAATATTAATGAATCACCCTGTATTCCTCAGAATAATATTATTTTATATACCAAGGTAGTTGAGACTATCATTATCACTCAATAAAAAAATAATTCAAATGCATCGATTATATTTCAAATCCCAATAACTCGAAAACTGTTACTCGCAGCGACCACTACTAGGAATATATTTTTTACACAAAAGTGTTCTAGAAAACTGTTTTCTTACTATACGTGATACAGGTACGCACAAAAAAGTTATGACTTCTCAAAAGACTCAAAAGACATGTATCTATAGGTGGTGCCACCCACATGAAATAGACAAACTAACATAAAATTCGATATTGTCATTGAAAGATACCCCTAGATACCAAACTTCATTAGAATATCACAATTATTTTGATATTCATTAACAAAAAACAAAAATAAGAATTATTCAACTTTGACACTCTGAATCTCAGAAAAGATAATTTTCTGAATTTTAATATAATGCTCTATCCTAGTGGGCTACTTAGTTTTAATCTTCTTCTGAAGATGCTAACATTGTTAGCGAAACACGTGTCGAGGTGAAAAAAATCGGTTCAATTGGTTACTGGTGAAACAGTGTTCAGTGCTCCCAGTCTTCGATGTATCGGGTGGTCACAAAAAAAAAGGAAGTTTTTATTTTCCTCGTGGTTTCATCATTTCTCAACCGAATTCGAATTTCTTGGCGTCGATTTATAGCTGAAGGGCTATAGTATACAGTGGGATATTTGGAAATTCCATAATGAACAAAGACAAAATGGCGGATTCTACGAAAGTATTGTCATTTACAAAAACCGCTGGAGAAGAAGAAAATCAGATTTTGTCTAACCTGTACCGATGTCATCTTAGGCTATTCATTTCTGAAGAGAATGAGTACTCGAACATCAAAATCGAACGAATAGTCCAGTAGATACACTCATTTCTTTGCAATTTGTTATGGAGTGAATGTGCTAATCTCGTATAAACGATTATTATTATTTTGCTTCAGCCGCCTTCATGAAAATTCAATCGAATTTGGATTCCTTGGAGTGATTTCGAAGATGAAGAACTGTAGTACACAACGGAACATTTGAAAATCCAATAATTGAAAGAAACAAAATGCTGGAGAATCCAGAATTTTTGTGATTTTCAAAAATCTCTGGCGAATAAAAAAATCAGGACCGATACAATTTAAGATCATTGATTTCTGAAAAAAATGAGCACTCGAACATCTGAATCGAACAAGGAGAAACACGTTCTTTTTGGCAAAGTGATATGGAGTGTGGAATCCAAATTCGATCGAATTCTGATGAAGCCAGAAGCAAACTAAAAGTAATTCTCATCAAGGGATTGGCACATTCACTCCATAACACTCTGCCAAAAAGAACGTGTTTCTCCTGGACTAATTGTTAGATTCACATGTTCGAGTGCTCATTCTTTTTAGAAATCATTGATCTGAAATTGTATCGGTCCTGATTGGAAGAATAAACATTTTTTTATTCGCCAGAGATTTTTGAAAATCACAAAAATTCTGGATTCTCCACCATTTTGTTTCTTCCAATTATTAGATTTTCGAATGTTCCATTGTGTACTACAGTTCCTCATCTTTGAAATATCTCCAAGAAATCCAAATTCGATTGAATTTTCATGAAGCCTGAAGCAAAATAATAATGATCGTTTATACGAGATTCGCACATTCACTCCATAACAAATTGAAAAGAAATGAGTGTATCTACTGGACTAATTGTTAGATTTCGATGTTCGAGTACTCATTTTCTTCAGAAATGAATAGCCTAATATGACATCGGTACAGATTGGAAAAAATCTGATTTTCTTTTTCTCCAGCGGTTTTTGTAAATGACAATACTTTGATAGAATCCGCCATTTTGTTTTTGTTCATTATGGAATTTTCAAATTTTCCACTGTATACTATAGCCTTTTAGCTATGAAACGACGCCAAGATATTAGAATTCGGTTGAGAAATGATGAAACCACGAGGAAAATAAAAACTTCCGTTTTTTTTGTGACCACCCGATATATTATCATAGTAGTAGATCCCTTACTGTTATAGTAAACTTCACATCATCATAATATTGGGACATTCTATCCCACTAAGCAAAGTTGAAAGCTATGTTGATGCAATTACTGAAACATACGTTCAGCAATATTGCAAAGATGAAGTTTGATAATGTAGCGTTGCAGCAATATTATATGTTGCTGTGACATTGCTGGAACGTTACATTCACTGTTCTAATTTGAAACGTCCTTCCACTTCCTAAATGCATTATTACTCGTAAACATAAATTTGTTAAAGTCCCCGCGTCCATAATAACACTTGTTACATATTATTTCCAGCTGGTACGACTTACCAAGTGACGGTGCGGGCAGGCAACAGCCGAGGCACTTCCAGCCTCACCGCTCCCCTCAAATTCAGCATGGCCGACGAGCACGTGACCTCCACAGCCAGCAGGGGCGAGCAGGACGGTCACGTGGGCGCAATGGTCGCAGTGGGGGCGGCTCTGGTCGTCATAGCGGCCATCTTGGTGGCGGCGGTGTGGTTCGTGAGGAGGAGGAGGCTGTTGGGAGTGAAGGATTCCGATGGAGTTGCGTTCGAGAATCCTAGTTATTTGAAGGAGGTCAACATGGATCATATCAGGGTAAATTATAATAATAATTCAAATACTTCATTATTCCTCAAAAATACATGAAAAGTTGAAGGTGGAATTCATCTTGTCTAATGTGGCGAATAAACTTACACAGCACGAGTTATTCCGCGAAAAGTTGCTACAATCATATTGCAGTTGCATTTGCAGTTGCCCATATGTGAGATATCCCAGATAGCACACGACGTCCCGGGGACGTACATATTACGTCCGATTCGGGTCCGTACGTCCCGGAACCTAATATGGACGTCCTCAGAACGTATCATGCCGTACGTCTTCGGGACGTACAGATCGTACGTTTTCAGGACGTCCATTTTTAGTCTCCATTTTTTCTATATTCGCATTGTTCACTCTTTATTTATTATATTTTCCAATAACAATAAAACATTGCCAGATGTGATCAAATGGAGAAGGAATAAGGCTTATTATTGGCTGCCGATTAATTCGATAATAGGATAATGAATCACGTGATTTTTTGTGACCAATGTGGAGAAATTGAAGTAAATCTGGCAATGTTCGCATATATATTTTTATCCTGAATAGAGTGTTATCTCTTTATTGGATTCAGAGATTTCGGAGGATATATCTAAAGATGAAATTATGTACACATTGTCTTACGTCCTGGTCTTTATATGACCAATCAGAAAATTCAGACTGATTCATAGCGAATTCCATTGAAATGAGCTGGTGGAGTGTTTCTGCACTCAATGTATATGTTTCCATCTTATACTCGCATATGTTGAACAGAGGTAAGTCTTATATTCAATAAGTGTCGTGTAGAGTTGTTGGTTAAGCATCTGCTTGGTAATTCAGAGGTCGCGGGATCGATCCCACAGTAGGAAGTATTATTTTAAATTTAGTATTCAAAATAATATTTTTTCTACTCTGTATAACTGTCTTGTTTATCTATCTGAGTAAAAAGGGCGAATCTACGTTGATTATGGTATTCATGGCGATGAAATACCAAACTTGGACTTAATATGGACGTCCCTGGGACGTTCCATTTTGTAACATCGGACGTCCCCAGTACGTCCTGTGGACGTCTTCGCCCGACACTGGACGTCTTCAGGACGTCTTGTACGTCCCAGATGTACGTCCTCTGGACGAACACAGGACGTCTTCGTGTTATCTGGGATTTGATTAAAGTCAGAAAGTCACCTTATATAATTGATTCGAATTGTCAAACAGGCCCTTTTTCCTACCTGGAATGATCCGTTGACTTGGCTTCAGGCTGACTTCCTCCATAATATTTAGATCTATGCTTCCACTTGATCATTGGCTACTTCGGAATGGACTGAAGTTGAGCACACGAGAGCAATGCCGGCACTGATGGAAAAGATCAGTGCTGCCGATTGACATAACAGTGGCATTACAGAGTGAATACAATTTTGAAATTCGAAGAATATTAGATATAGAAATCTCGGTGCTACCCGATAGTGCTACACCCATCCAAACAGTCAGAATCGATTTACTATATCGATTTGAATCTTGGCAGCATAACTTACGAGATTCTCCCTACTATATTTTACAATGTGTCTTCAGGAATATATTTGGATGACAAATATTTGGCATCCCTCAGTTCTTGTACGAGCTCTTGTTGTATAACGAGATAATTTTCCTGTCCCATGAAAACATGATACTATACACATTTTTGTGTTGTTTTTCTTCTACTTTATAAATCACTCAGAAGCTCACAAGTAGGCAAGAAAACAGACCATACTTATACCTATTCAGATAATATAATTCAGGTTACTGAAATCATCATTATTTTCTGTTGTTTCTGGGTAAACATATTCAGTCCGACCGTGGTTCCAAATACTTGCGGATGAACGTCGGCAGAAAATATCAAGAAAATTGCGCCTTCCTCTTTATGTTCCATATAAGTATATATTTGTCCTACTATACAGTGGAGTGAAAGCAATGGGACACAGCGACATTATTTATACAGTCTACTCCATCGACACGATACTTTGATGAATTGTTTTGGTGGAGTATGGTGTATGAATTTCGCCCTTTCCAATTATGACGTCATTTGTGAGTCATATTTTGCTCAGAGACGACGCAGACAAGAAATTACGAAAAGAAACAATGTCAATATGACGTCTCATCAGCACATTCTGCTACCGTAAAACAACATTAGTGAATGGAATATTTTTCTTGATTGTTCCAGGTTCCCCAATCGCAAAATGACTCTTCGAAACAAACCAGCGCGACCAACAACGCTTCTTCTTCCACTGACAGCCCGCAGTGGATAAGTGAAAACTTGCACGTACCTGCCCAACAAGAAGTCGACCCCACCCTGTACGAAGAACTGAAATTGGGGCAAAACGGAGCGGGTTTCAAGAGGTTGAAGCCCTAGTATGAGGATTCGAACGACGGAGGTTTCGAATCTAGGTTTTGAAAGTATTGTGATAGCCTTAGATTAGTCGCTGGTTGAGATGTTTTATGTTTTCATTTTCAATATTATATGGTAATTTTGCACTTAACATATGAAGCTTATACCTAATGGGCATCTAAGCGTTGAAAAAACCTTGAGAATTGGTTGTGTGACCAACTGTTTGAAGTTGGTTGAAATGACAGGAGAATAACGTTTTTCTTTTTCAATCAGAAGTCATATTGAAGTTGAAAATACGTATTTCTAACTAATTTAGGATATAGGTCACTAAAACGTATTCGTCTAACGTTATCATTGATTTCGTTCGAATATATACTCAATGGGTATATTTGTTTTACTTCATTGCCACGTAATTTGGGATGAAGTCAAAAAGAGATGATAATCAATTACTGAAGAAAAAACAACTCATGGTAGTTTTTCTTGGGTATTTTTTTGTGAAGTTTTCGAATTCTATTCTCACAAGCAAAACAAACAGCCTGAAGAAGATGCAACCAAATTGTTCTTCCTTTTTAACTTTTTCATTTCTCCACTGATTTTGCTGAGTTTTCAAAAAAAATATAAGCTGTTGTTTCGAAATGTTGCTGATAATGTATTACTTTAGGAATCACTTCTTCACCCTCAAATTTTCAACGCTTTGTGGCAGAAGTGAGTGATTGAACGAAGTGTGATCACATCTGAGTATAATAGATTTTGAGTCACATCATCTTGTTTTCAAGAGAAGCTGAAATGATTTCGAGGAAGTACCTATGAAATCTTTGAATTTTCATGAGAATTATTCAGAACCTACAGGAACTCATCAATTAAGTACTCAAAGAAACATATGAAAAACTATTTCGCTTGTCAGGAAATGATGATTCTATAACAACATGTGAATATGAAAATCGCTTGTCAAGATGTCGAGCCAACCCTGTACGAGGAACTGAAATTATGGCAAAACGGAGCGGGTTTCAAGAGGTTGAAGCCCTAGTATGAGGATTCGAACGACGGAGGTTTCGAGTCTAGGTTTTGAAAGTATTGTGATAGTCTTAGATTAGTCGCTGGTTGAGATGTTTTCATTTCCAATATTATATGGTAGTTCTGCACTTAACATATGAAGCTTATACAGGGTGTTTCACAGGTAAAGGGAAATACTTCAATGGTAGATAGCGGTCACCAAGGTGGTTCTGAAAATACCATATTTGATAGGTCTTTAGAGTTTTCATAACGGAGATACAGGGGGCGATTTATCGATTTCGAATAATTATTCATTCGTCTATAAGTATTGAACTACAGGTATATATTTCTAAAATTTGGTATGGAGCTTAAACTTGGGACGTTGAATTCATTCACCTATCAAGCGAAGAGAAAATCCAGGTTCGACTTCAGGAAGAATTCACATTTATTGGAAATATTGAAATAACACGCTGTATGTAATAATTGACAGAGTTCATCAAAGAATCGTGAAGAGGAGGAAAAACTGAACTGGTGATGCTTTTTGTTTTCCCGCCACCAATTCTCATCGTAACAATCATGAACAGGAAGCTGAAAGTATGTCAATTTGAAGAGTATTGAAATCATGAAACCAGTGTCAATTATGATTATTCGATATATATTAGTCAGAAAATCGCTCGAAAGAACTTATACTTAGTCTCACAGTTTTTATAACGGAGATACATGGTGAATTAATCGGTTTTGAATAATTGTTCACTCGTCCATACGTATAAAACTACCCAGTAACATTTTCTCAAATATGGTATGTAGCTTACTTGGGACGTTGGATTCATTAACCTATCAGGCGGAATTATAATTCGATAATTCACCCTGTATCTCTGTTATAAAGACTATGAGACTTCTCCTGAAGCTGAACCTGTATTTTCATTCTGCCCGATAGGTAAATGAATCCATCGTCCCAAGTAAGCTCAATACCAAATTTGAGAAAATATTACTGCGATGGGTAGTTTAATACTTATGGACGAGTGATAATTCACCCTGTATCTCTGTTATAAAGACTGTGAGACTAAGTTAGTTATTCCGAACGACCATTCAACAAGAATATATCAAATAATCATAATTGAAAGTGGTTTCATAATTTTAATACTCTTGAAATTGACATACTTTTAGCTTCCTGTTTATGATTGTTACGATGAGAATTGGTGGCGGGAAAACAAAAAGCATCAAATCTCGTTCAATTTCTCCTCCTCTTCATGGTTCCTTTGATGAACTTTGTCAATTATTACATACAGTGTGTTATTTCAATATTTCGAATAAATGTAAATTTTTCCTGAAGCCGAACCTGGATTTTCACTTCGCCCGATAGGTGAATGCATTCAACGTCCCAAGTTCAAGCTCCATACCAAATTTTAGAAAAATATACTGGGTAGTTCAATACTTATAGACGAATGAATAATTATTCGAAATCGATAAATCGCCCTGTATCTCCGTTATGAAAACTCTGAGACCTATCAAATATGTTATTTTCAGAACCACCTTGGTGACCCCTATCTACCATTCAAATATTTCCCTTCACCTGTGAAACACCGTGTGAAAAAAACGTTGATAATTGGTAACCGACTGTTTGAAGTTGGTTGAAATGTCAGGGAAATAACGTTTTTTTCCAATCCGAAGTTATATTGAAGTTGAAAATATGTATTTTCAACAAAGGCAAGTGGACTATTTTTTTTTTCAATTCTCAAATAGAATCATCACTCAAATACCTTTCGATTTATTATTGTTTTAGAATTTTCCGGTCGATTTTCAGGTGCTGAAATCATCAATAATGCCACGGTATAATTTTCAGACGACTAGAAATTTACCGCGAGTGGAAAGTGAAGTCACAATTTCGTAAGTAGGGGACAGACCATAGCACATCGCAGTTGCCATGTGAAATACGATCGGGAACTTCAGAAATATTTATTATTCAAACATTCATGAATTCTTAATGGGGGACTTCGCTCCAAGTTCCAACCTAAAAACCTCTACCAATATAGAAGCAACATTATGGAAGTTTGATTACTCAAATAGCTTTATTTTGATGAAATCTGATTGTAGGAGTCTACTCAGTTTTTCAATGAAAGTTATTCAGGAGAAGAAATAGTTTTTGTGAACATCTGACTAGTTGAAAATCATGTTGGTGCATATGCAGTACGTCAATACTGATATGTCAATACTTTCAATGGTGTCAGTACCCGAGTGATAAATGGGATATCAATAAATCACTAAAATAATCGAGTTCGAATCACGTTTGAACTCCAAATAATGAACAAGAAACTTTCATGAGAAACGTGCAAATCTATAATAGACTGGATATGTGAGGGTTCTAAAGTTATCTGGTCTGGGGCTACTCTCGACTCGTCGTAATGGTAATCAACATAACATTGTTAATAAGGCTTCATTTGATTGTTGTTCATTGATATTTGCTCACCATATACTGCCACATGCTATAATATATATTGTGATGTTCGAATAGTCTTGTGATTTCAGCTACCCTTAAATTATCTGTGTCTATAATTATTTGAATATAGCTAGATTATTTTGATATTGTTGTATTCCGACATCTATTATTGAAAATTTTGACCAGTTTTCATCCAAGGTGAGCCATGTAAGCTCCAAAAGTATTGATATAATGATTTCTTTCCCCTATTGCTATTTTTTTACTAGAGTGTCTTCATTTATATCGACTGTGATTTCTTCATTTCCACACAGTTGTGTTTTTCTTTGGGTTATTCTTCATTTCAGGAGGAGGTTGAAACTTCATTGTTTGATTCTCATGTCATATATGTGGATCGATTTTTAGTACTCGAATGAAATATATTGTACTTTCTTCCTACTGCAAAGATCAATCTTCTTTTCCAAAAAATGATAAATCGTCATAATGTTGTTTAAAAATAAAATAATCCTAAAAATGTAACAAAAATATGACAAGTAAAAAAATTTACGGCGATATGACATATTTCAGAATGAAAGCAGGTGCATCAACATAATTTTCGACTAATCAGAACTCGAGATCACAAAAATTAATTTTTCTTCTGAATAACTCCTACTATAGGAAGCTGCGTAGACTCCTACGATCAGATTTCATCAAAATAAAGCCATTCGAGTAATAAAACTTCCATAATGTTGCTTCTATATTAGTAGAGGTTTTTAGGTTGGCAACTTGGAGCGAAGTCTCCCATTATGCATTGGTAATATTCCTGCAAGACAAAATCAATTGTCTCAAAATGTTCCCTCATGATTAGTGGCTTATCGCTTATAATACATTTGTCTAAACAGTAATTATATTAATTCACACTAGAGGGAATTTGAAGCGGTGAACGTGACAACACGTCGCGCACGACTTGTAGGCGTGGTCTTGTCCCCTCTCAGTATTCAGCACAATGTTGCCAAGACTCCAAAATTTACATGATATTTTGGTATGTAGTTGCTCGAAAGAAAAAGTCGAGAATCAACTATAATATTATGGGTTCCTCCAATTATATTTCATTCAAGTAAAAAACGCTTACATCTTTCTGATAACTTGATTATAATTGGTGACTTGACAACCTTGCTTCGTGAGTGGGAATGAAAGATTATCTGTCCAATAATGAAACAGCATAAAAGCTGACGTCGCCATTCATTCGACGTTCCTAATATTAATTTAGTTCCCAAACGACACGTTGGAGTAATTGAATACCAATAATTCAATATTATAGTTCACTCGCCCATTCTGCTAAAATCATTATTAGGTTGGATATACGTCACTAAAACGTATTCGTCTAACGTTATCATTGATATGTCGTTAGGAAATCGACGTGTAACGTATTTTTTGCCCATTCGTTCGTTCAACGTTCGTTGAATACATGTTGAATCAACAAACATGTGCTCAATGGGTATATTTGTTTCACTTCATTTCCACGTAATTTGAGGTGAAGTCTAAAAGAGATGATAATCAATTACTGAAAACAAACCACTCATGGTACTATTTCTTAGGTATTCTCTTGTGAAGTTTG